GGTGTAGTGGAAGCAGCAGCTGCTGCGGGCTGAACGTGGGGAATTACCACTCCGGGCTGTACAAAAGCCTGTGGATAGACATAGTGAGCAGGTATCCTGTTGAAAGATGGGAGAGGGAGTTAGAGTCGGTACGCAAGTCAGCGCCTAAGCGTCATTTCCATACTCCGAACTAAAACAAACTCAATTTAGTTGTTGTTATGTGCATAGGGTTGCCACAATAACTAGACTCCATGGACCAATTATCAGTTCACTGGCCCGAAGAGATGCGTCGCTCCAAAGCACAGCATTATAGCTGAGTTAAATAGGAGTGTTTAATGTTGCTTGAGGATATGATGTTTAATACTATTAAAATTTTTAGAAGGACCAGGATTACTGATGTCAGTTTTAAGACAACTTTAAAGGAGTAAGCTTGATTATTCCATCTGGAAAATTGCGGTATTTGTTTTTCAAATCACCTGTAAGTCATCTTTATTACCCTGCTTCTCACTTAACTACTCGACTCTTAGTAAAATTATTTCCTGCAATACTTTCATTATTAGTAACTGAGCAGTTTGACAGCACCACTATAATAAGTTTGACAACAGCCAATAAGGCAACAAAGTGGTTGAACCCTGACCTTATGTAAAGTCTTCTCGGGGAGGAGGGGGGAGAGTGTATTGTGGCAACCCTACTTAAGTTGCTATGCAGACTCAGCACACATTAATTTCTCTGCAACCTCAGTCACCCTTATTAAAAATAAGAAAAAAACCAACACAGGCGACAAAGGAGTTTAAATAAAGTACACAAGTGTGGTAAACACAGCAAGAATCACACTTTCCAAACGAACGATAGTGCAGCTCACTCCGTCACAAGAGGCCATTGAGGGGAAGCTACATAGATGCTATTAAAATCCATAACAGTGACTCCTAAGTACATGTGCATCACACTTTTATAAAAGTTCGTAAGGACACAAGGGTCAAACCTGTTTGATTATCAGGCCACTGATGTCCTGTTTTGTGCCAGCTTGTTTATTTCTATGCAAGACATACAGCATAGAGTTTTTTGGGAGGTGGGCATAGGATTAAGTCTAAATAGAACTGGTGCTTAACAAAAGCAAAAAAACCCAAATTTACAGCTTAAGAAATAACCATTCTGAACAGATGAGTACACACAATTTCCCATCATCTCCGAGTCACAAAACTTGCTTCCTTGGCTTGTTTACTTAGCCCTTCAGTTTTGAAAATTGGTTGTATCGTCTTAGCACACAATTGTACATACATCTCATAGTTGTACTTTATCATGTAGTATGTTTTTAAAAAATAATATACTCAGTATAATTCTCATTTTACATTCATAACCCTGTCTTGCATCTGGATTTCTACAGAGAGGTCATTCATATATGCAACTCCTTTCCAGTCAGTGAATCTTTATAAATCCATGAAAAACTGCTTGTGCAGATTTACTACTATTTCTTACTGAGCTTTACCTTTACAGACAACTCTAAAGACTGCACCAACCTTTTAGCGCACTGTAAGCACAGATGCAAATTGCAATGGTAAAAACTGTCCTCTTTTCTCCAAATTCAAGATTTAATGGAAAGGGGGTTTTTTGTTTGTTTCATTTTTAAAATAACTTCAAGATTTACTGAAGTGGTCAACAAGGAAACATTTCAATCAGAAGGGACACTGTCAACTAGATTCATAGCAAAACATAGTTTAAGATAAGTGATAGTCAGGCTTTAGAACAGCCTAGTTTTCTTTTTAAGAAAAAAAGAGCTCAGTTGATTGAATAGGAGTATTAGCAGAGAGAAATGTTCAGTTGCCGTGTTTAAGACATGAACACCACAATCATAAAAACCCAACATGTCAATGAAATTCATTTCCTACTGTGTGAAGGGAGAAATGAAAAAAAAACAAAAAGAGTGACAAATAGGGATTGGGAAAGGAAAGAAAACATAAACAAAACCGTAAGTTGGGTTTTTAACACTCACCTAATTTATGAAGTGATTAGCCAGAAGTGCATTTGAAGCATATTTAAGCTGGCTCTGTGCATTTAAATACACATCATTACCTGAGCTCTCCATACAAAATGGATGAGCATAAACAAGCATTTTGTATTGGTCACCAATCAAGTACAATCCTAATAAATATAACACCATGTTTTTTAAGTATTAAGGAAAGAGGTATAAAACCAAATTTGAAGTCACCAAGAGCCTCTTCTGCATCATTAAGAGTCCATTTAACACCACATCAAAGGAATCTTTACATACAGCATTTATGAAAGAGAGTAATTCTAACAAGAGACAGTACACAAGCTTATCTAGCTGCTTGTGTTAACTTGAACTGATGTTACTAAGATTTTCTGAAGACATTAGGACACTCGGCCATATCCTTGAACAAGACAGAAAGATACATGTGCTCCCACTTAAACTCTCGTGACTTGTTTTATTTAAGCCAAGAAACTAACAGGTGGTGAAGTTATGAAACGCTATCTGTTTGCCACATCTTACCCTACAATAAACATAAACCCTGTGCAGGCTCCCTACCACCATGCCATTTCACACATGATGATTGACAGCATAAGCTGCAGTGGGGCTATTTTTGATCATCTGTCATGCTATAACTGTTTTGAGTCGAGTAAAATGGCTTTATATGGCCAAAGTAAATTTCTACCTACTGCAGAGGCCAGCACATGTAGAGCTCAGCCATTCAGAACCCAACTGCTTTTAACGCTCTGCCAGGTCAAAAGCTGAAAAAGCAATTCCCAGTTACGCTGGATATCCTTCGTATCCTTAATTTTACATAAAAGCTGCTGCTTTACTTTTTGTGAGTAAGAGTGTGAGAATTATACATGGTTTAAGCTTTCTTTCCTGGCAGTAGTTTTTATTTTGGGACGTATATTTACTGTTTTATGCTTTTGCAATAAAGGAAAAGGGAAGCCACATTAAACTTTAGCAGTAACTATAGCTTTGGGATATTAAAAATTGAATGACAAACACTCCTGCCATGTACTTTAAGACCTTCATTGTCATTATAACAGAAGAGTTTTGTTTAACTAAGACCTCAAAAATAATCCTATAAGCAATAATAAAGTGAAAGCCAACTGTTTCAAAGGATAGAAAGGACTTTCTAGACTAATGCAGAGAGCTGTGGCATATAGAAATTCAGCAGTAGTAGCACATCATTGACTCTCAACATGAAATTCTTGTGAAAGTAGATATTTAACTTTGAACGAAATGTTTTGCTTTGGCCCTTGCATGGCATAATCTGGTTTTGTAAGCATAATTGAAGAGTAGATTTTCACCAATGCACAGCTTTCCTTATAGCAGAAATAGGTTACGTAAACATCAAGACATAAAAGACCCTTAATATGCTTCCTTTTAAATTTGTGCCTGATACCATTAAGAGGACATTTAGCATTCTGCAGGTTAACTTCTGACTGTGCCGGCTTCATTCCCTCTTTCCAGATTATCCGTAGTCTAGTATTACACAGGTCTTTTGATCATAAACTCGAGAGGGCTTTTCCTTCTCTCTTAAGAAAGGCAGAATTGCCTAACTCTTGGGAGATAATGCCGAGCAGGTAGTATCAGCTAACCATTTGATAATGAACTTACTAACTTTGGATTTAACTCTGGTCTTACTAAAAGCGGTGGGAATGTTGTCATTTTGATCGAGGTACAAGTTTTAGACAGAAAATAAAGAGAAAAAATCTTTCCAACAGAACAAGTCACATCCTACACCAATACCTCTGTATAACCCCGTATTTTCCCACCAATATTGAAGTAAAAATTACATAAGCAAAATGAGAAAAGCTATCTTAGGAGGCAAAGTCATCTTCCCCCTCCATGAATTCCTATTGAATTCAGAGATAGTATTTTAATAAACAATCCTGGAAACAGAGCTGTATAGATAACCAGTCCTGTGATCAAACAGCTTTCTACGAAACACACCAACAGTAAGATAGATGCTGAATGTAAAGAGCAGGGAGAAATGTTATTTGGTGGATAAATTGATCTGTGCAGCACTGAATAAAGAAAAATTCCCAGCATTTTAAATGCTTCATGCACTGAAGCTAATCTAGTTTCTGGCTCCCTCCACCACAATAATGTTGTACTTAATTCAGAATACTGTACTTCTGCATCTTCTCAGTAAAAGTAATGTAACATAATCCAATTATTTTCAGCTTCTTGTTTGATAGGTGGGGAACTATATCAAAACACTGCTGACCATACCAGAATATGGCAGCACCTCACTAATTTGCACTCTGGTAGGAAAAAAAAAAACCAACAAAAAACATTTGGAGCTTTTTTGTATGGATTAGCAGAGTATTGGTAGTGAATCACCACGATGACCATTTTACACAGCATATTAGTAAAGTGTACTTTTAAAAAGTGCAACTGCACAGGAGGAAGAAAGGCTTTAAGGTGACCATGTATTTCAGTGCAATCCATGTAACATCCTCTTAGAGTGAACTCTTCAATAGAAGTAGATTCAAGTAAGCACTGAAACAACGCCTCTTATTGTCAAGGAATATAGTGAACGAAGATGTTAATTCATGCTAATGAATGCTGTTCTTCTTAATCTGCACTATAGTCTTTAGAAAATGTACAAGTCGTCGGAAATGTTGAGGAGGAAGCAGGATTAGTAATCTCCTTTGTTTGCACATAGTAAAAGAAAGGCAAAAGCCAAGGATTAAAAATTACCAATTTCATATATACATGACCCTGCGACCAACGTTCCTTTTCTTCAGATTTATGTACATTGCATTAGAAATAAAACCTTATTCAGCCTGCTGAAAGAATTTCCCTGACCTAAACACGATTTACACGATCTGTTGTTGGCTCTGGGTAAGGAAAGCAAGAAAGACCCCTACATTTGTAAAGTCCTTTAAGCAAGGGATTGCCACAGGTTCTCCTTTTCTGTTCTGCTCAGCAAATACTCAGTTTCTCCATGGCTGATCCCCGGGCAGTCCACTGGTTCCTCCTTGGAACAAGTGCTTTAACAGCTCTGGAGACAACGTGCTCCACCTCCTGCCTACCTTAGCGCAGGCATCATAAACTGATCACTGCATATACACTGTCGTTTCCTCACACTTCAAAGAAGTCAAACAAAATACAGTAGAGGATAATCATAAGAAGAAAAAAAAAAAAGACAAAAAGTTTTCCACAACCTCCCCTTCTTCTGTGTCTCAGAAGAATCAACATTCTCCTTTAAAAGTACGTAAAGTTTCTAGGAAAGCTTTTTCCTACAGTTTTGAGGACAGGAACTGTTTCCTACCGCTTTTACAAGTCAAACTACCAAGAAGCTAACAGCTAGGTACAATATTCTAAACCTATTCTAGTCAAATAAACAAAATATATTTGTGACGCATTTTCCCTACTTTATTGTTAGCTTACTCATTAATTAGCAAAATGCATTATTTTGCAATGAGTTTCTCAGTCAGTGTGCATTAGTGAAGTGACACTGTATGGAAAGTTTAAAGCAGACTTCACCTCCTAATTATATGCCTGTAAGAAGCAAGAGTTAGATCTATTTAGGAATAGTATACTCAAGTAAAGGAGAAATGCGCTACATATTAAAGACAGATTGAAGAAAAAAAAAAATCTCAAATTAGAAAGCCCAAATGGACGCACATTGTTAATAAGGAGCTCCACACCCCTCCCAAGAACAAACCCCCCCCAAAAAATTATGAACATGCAAGCAATACGTTGATTTACTTAAAAATCAAGAAGTCACACAATTTAGCACTCACTACAAAATATGGTTAAAAAAGTCACAGGCTACAGCTTGAAAGCAAGGAAAAAAAATAAAAGGCCCTTTGCTCCCCATGGCAAAGTCACTCCTCAACAACAAAACAAAATTAAAAAGACCCCCCCCAAAAACTTTCACTACAGCTCTTTCAATTAAATAAAAGCACACAGTTTAGCTATCAACACCACTTCATTACTGTAATAAATAAATAAAAAAAAAGCACACGGAGGTCTATTGACTATATGAAAAAAACATACATGCATCGTTAATCACCATTTTAGCTTGTTTGTGTTTGAGTCTACTGGTTACAGAGTTTAATTCCAAACAGAACTATTCCACCTCTTATCATCATATCCTTCTGATCAGTTATCTTAACTGTAAACGATCCCTGTCAGATTAGAAAGAGATAAATAACATTGAGTCAAGCTGAAAAAAGAGAAATGGGGCACAGCAATCTTGCATCAAGTCATACCTCCTTGTTTTACCATAGGGTCATACGGGACTGGACTGCTTAGGTGGAAGGGACACGTCCCACACAACTTGACTCAGCTGCGGCATTTAGAACATGACCGACAAGGTGAGCGCATTTACGGGTATACATTTATAAGTCTGAGTACTTCAGCATTGCTGGTGAGTTTATAAGGCTGCTACTGCAAGAGGCCTTCAAGGATCATACTTTTTCTTTCCTTTTTTAAAAAAAAATTTTTCCTCCCCTATTTGAAGTCCCATTGAACAGACTTACCCAAAAGGCCTCTGTATGAGAGCTGGATGAAGCTGCTGGACACCAAAGGCAAAACCTACCGACAAAAACACATCACATTCTCTGTATGGGTGTTCTTTTGGCCACTTATTTACACTATATATACACACACACACAAACGCAGTGTAACAGCCTTCACTAACAACCTCCAGTGGCGATGTCTGAAAGGCTGCAGAACCACAAATTAGAAAGCAAAATATATCAATCCATATATACACGCACACACATAGATGCATACAGAACTTGAAACAGTAAAGCACACGCTTTCCTCGAGATGTCGAACGACTTTTTCTAAACAACAAGCACAAGGTGTTCATTCACATTTTATTTTGTGCTCCATTCTGGTCCCTAACTTTAGCCTCCGAAGGATTATATGGTGCTTTCTATTCTTCAGTATATTTGTCTACTTTCTACAGACTTAAATTCGAGCCATCTCTACTCATGTGGACTTAGCATGGGGGTCAAATCCTAACTTCATTTCTGTTCTTCAAGCGCCCAAATATAAACTCCTTCTTTCCTTGATGGGCACTTAACTACTCACACAAGTGCTTCTCAGGCTAAGCACAGGGGAATTCAGAGCAGCCTCCTTTAGAGCACAAACGCGCACGCACTCTGCGCTCCTGTCTCCCGTGCTGCAAAGCAGCAGCTTGGGAAGTGGCTAGGACATCAGATTGGCTCGGATGTGGTCTTAGGAAGAGCCGTTTCATTTTAAAGTCTGCATAATAGCTCCCATCTGTTTGAGGAGTTTGCATTAAGATATTGTTTGTATTAATAAGACCGCACACATTGGAAGCGATTAATTTCTAGGCCAATCTTTCCCTGCAACGATACTGTAAATGGTCAGCGCCACCACATTCCCAGCAGTAGGAATAACCAATGAAGTGTCTGAGCTGGGGCGGTCTTCCTGGGGAGCTGCAGATATTTTATCTCCGATTGCTTTTGGTTTTTAAATAAGGCACATGTACAAAATAGCCAGAAAGTTACTACACGCTGGCATTTAAAAATGAAAACCAAAGCACACCCGAACACCGAGTGTCCTTCAGGAAAGTGCCGGACAGCACTACCTTTTTTAAAGTTTTACTCTCTTCAGAAAGCTGAGGTGCAGAGAGAAAAGCCGTTCAGGGCCGCTTCCTCACCTGGCTGCATTATCCGCGGCTTGGCACCCAGGTACGCCAGATTCACGTTGGCTTTCCTGCCATCGATGATGGGGTTGGGGTCTTTACAAGCCCTTTCGGCAGCAGCTCTGTCAGCCATGGTGACCTTAACGGGCGATGCTGCGCGTTAGATCCCCTTTCCGCGGGGAAGGAGAAGCCCCTCGCCCACGGCAGCGAGCCGGCTGCTCCCCGGGCGGCGCT